GGTCCTCAGAAATGTAGCTAGCTTTGTCACTAGGCGTTAGGAACAGCGACAAAGTGGCACTGCCTCTCTCTCTGCTGCTAAAGCTACGGATAGCAAATGCTACGGGCGATGCCTGAGCGTGAACGCGCATGAAGCAGCCTGCTCGACCCGAGCATCTCTCTTTTTCTGTGATTTTACAGAAAAACAGGCAATCACAGTAAAAATGCCAGGGCTCATTCTACAGGACCAGGGCATTGCAGGAGAATGTATGAAGAAGACATTTATTATTTCTATACATGTTTTGGCTGTCAAACTTCCTTAGTGTCCCTTTGAGCAAACAGATAAAGCTTCATGAGTTTTGGACAGGTCTGATGAATGTTCGACTGATGTTTGATGATGTCACACTAACCTTTGAAATGCTTAAAATCATCTTTTGGGGAATGAGGGTGTTTGCAGACAAACTTTTCTTGCTTCCAGCATTTTACAGATACAAAAAGAAATTATAAATCCAAACATCAACATTTTTGTTTTTCTCTGCTAGCGGGGAGGTGGTTCTCTCCTAAGTCCTCTGAGAGGGCAGAGTCAGAACTGTCATAGACATCAGGGACATTTTACTGGCTGTGAAGGTCTTTTAAACTAGTAGTAATCCCAGAATCAACCTCTGTAGAAACAGAAATCCACGTGTGTGACCACCAGAGCCTTCTGCTGCTCACAAAGCAGCGTGCAGCGTTCACTCAGCAGCTGTTTGTCTGGGGTTTACTGTAATGTCTGTGTTCCTGATTGGGAAACTGGTGGTTACCATGGAGACCCTAATGAGCCACTGGTGGCAGTTTAACATTTTTTTAGGGAACCTAGTTCTCTTGCACATTTCTGTTAGAGAGAAGTGCATTCCATTCTTGGTACCTTGTAGATGCTGCAGAGTTGTCAAAGGATGAGATTCTGCATGAAGAGGACGGGTGGTATTTCATAACTGCAAGATCCATAAGGGTTAAGCCTGATTTATGCTTCTCCGTCTGCGTCAGTGCGGAGACACGCAACTCCATTATCCGTCCTTGCGTAGGGCTCCGGCAGGCACGCAAGTACGTACGGAGTCGAGCCCACTTTTTTAAACCTCCGTCGAACGAGACGGATTACGCAAGCTTGTGATTGGTCAGGACGCCGCTGTTGTTTACAGCGCCGCCATTGCAAAGAGAGCCGAGGATAACTAGCGGCAGACACGGAGAAGCTTGAAGAATACCTCGCGAAAAAACTAAAAATATGAACGTTTCATCCTCCCGTGACTGGAGGAGTGAAAAGATGCGCAGCAAGCGTTTTATTTGTGGACGGAAATGACAGGAAACTTGGGTTTAGAGGTGGGGAGCGCATGAAGAGGTGGAGGAGAATGAGAAACAAATATGTCCGTGTTAAAAGTCTCTTATATACACAAAAAACACAATATAAACACACTATCTTGGACCAATACATGACAGGATACCACAGAACAGCGCTACGCCCTCTGTTGTCCTGCCGGGGAATTGCTTTGCAACACTCTCCAGGAGACGGAGACGTATGAGAGCAAAACGCTTCCGTCAATCCGTGCGTGTCTGTCCCTTGTGGAGCTGACGGTGAAGCATAAACCAGGCTTTAGCCTACATGAGATGCTGTGATCAGTTTAAACTCGTGGCTTTGCTTTCTGTTATGGTTGAAACGGTTTTGCTTACATCCAAACACGCTATAAACAAAACACAAGTCTGCTCTGTGCTATTTAAATGTAATCAGACATTCTCACTTTCCCAGAATGCACTGCAGACAGTAATGTCAGGAGTACTTCCTCATTCATACATGTAGCGTCATGAATGGCCTCTAATTTGTGACAAAGGTCACATTTTCCCAGCTGGGTCAAGCTGGGTCGACTGTAACTTCACCCCACAGATTAAACAAGCGAGGAGCCGTGATGTCTGCTGAAATCATCTTTATCTGCTGTTCCGTCCCAGGCTGAAGGACACTTCAAGTTCACAATAATAATTTTAAATAATAATTTTAATAAACTTTTGACTTTATCACTGTTATTACAATCATCATAAATAATGACTTGGTTCAGTATAAATGTGTTTTAATTACTGAAATGACTTATTATGCTTTGGGTATAATAATGATTATGGTTGATGATCGGTTATGTGTGTTCAGCAAACCTGAAGGTCATCTTGCACCTAACCAGCCTCATTCAGAAGGGATATCCAGGGTCAGGGTAACATCATCTTACTCATGACCAAGCTTTCTGAGGCTGAGAGTGGGCGTGTTCTGAGGGTTTTGTTAAAACTAAATTTCCAGCAGCAAAAGTTCAGTTCTTGAACCATACGAGGAGACGAGGGAACGGCCGCCCGAATCTCTACTGAGCATTCTGTCACGCCGATAGAATCGCCCTGAATAAACGCAACGATAACCAGCTGACGCAAAACTCCTTCAGAGTTAGTGATTTTGAGATGCAAATAGTTCCACCAGTCGGGTGACCCAAGGAGACATCTCAGGACCGATTTGGTCACACTAAGGTCCTTCTACCAACCTCGTGCCTGGAGGAAACCATCTCCACCTGACATCTCGGATCCAGAAGAGCAGGGGTGTCAAATATACGGCCCGCGGGCCGCATGTTTTCTCTGTAATGAGTATAAATAAAACAAAGCTGCGCTCAAGGCTCACACAAGAACTTGAATCACATCCTGAAGTTGGCCGCCACTCAGGATGTGACTTCTGATATTGATGTGCTGGTGAAAGCTAAAAGATGTAAAGTAAAATGAGTCAAATATACTTTAAGTGCTGCATGAAACTGATCTAGCCATGTGATCTGTAAGCTCTTTGAATCACTAAGGAATGTTTTTTTAATTTGTTGATTTATTTTATTTGTTTCCAAGTTTTCAAGTACACTTCAGGTGTTGTACTTGTACTACACTGTCCTCAGGCTCCAGCCTTGCTTTATATTGATTGTATTAAAACAAAGAAAACAATCTGAAGTTTTTTTTTAAATTTACCGGTCCGGCCCACTTGGGACTAGATTTCCCTCAATGTGGCCCCTAAGCTAAAATGAGTTTGACACCCCTGCAGAAGAGGGCCTCCTATACTGGGCGAGGTAGACATTCTGACAGATGCTGTTTAATGCTGTTCTTCTAAGAAACGACTCAGTTAGCTGCAAAACCATATTTTCCAACCCAGAACGCGCTTCTCTCGCTGAAAGAAACCTTCTGATATTCATTTACGCATCCAAAACTCTCATTTCAATTTAGCTTTCATTCAGACACAGGTTTGCCTTCGAAACAAGATTTAATATCAAATTGTCATTTTTTAAGAGTGTTAGTAATAAATTCTTAACTTTAAAAACTTGACTCTCTTCTTGAAATCAAACACAGAATGGTGTGTATTTCTAGTTATTGAAAAAGCAAAGATTCCTTTAACTTCTGATTAAATAAATAAACTTTTGCTATTAAGTTTAATTATCTTAAATTAAACATTTATCTTTGGATTAAAATTAGACCAAGCTCATTGGCACATGAACTTCTATCGAATATATAATATCCTAGATATTTATATATGATAGAAGCTTCATTTGTGAACTTGTTTGGGTCTTTTCTCAGATTCTAACAACTGATAGCAAACAGTGTTGATTCTAGCATGTAGATGAACACGCTACATACATTAAAAAAAATCTCAGTTTAGACTGAAAAGTTTTGGGATCTCAGACTAAAGCTGCATTGACGCCCTTCAAAACTTCTACACAAATGTTCTTTTGATTTTGATGCTTTAAGAAAATGCCCACAGCTACAAGAGGGCTTTTTCGTCAGTGGCTTAGTTTCTTTTCACTGGAGGATTGCCAGCATTTGGGACCAGAGGGCTTGAACAGAGCAGATATCTAACGTCTGAGAGTCCAAGCTGCTGCTGTCTGAAACTCCGGTTTGGTTTACTAACGTTGGATGGAGTAGGTGGAACCAGAAGAAAGCTGATGCAGCAGAAGCCTATTGGAAGAAAATAATAACAACGCAGGTCTCACTAAAAGATAAACACCACAGCCTAAAAGATTCCTGAGATGGAATAACGGAGCGATGGATGTATTCGCTTGCAGATGCATGCTAAGTCTTTTTTCCACTTGGTTAAATCCTTGGCAGTGGTCACCGTAGGAGATGCATGTTCTGTTGTTCAGCCAAACCTCAAGAGACAAGACAGGGAGAGATTAGAGCGCTACATCAGATCTTCAGGGTGGTTCGGACCTTCTTAAGGCGAAGAACTGAATTGCACGCTTCGACACACGCCTGTAACAGCTGGGGAAGACATGAACGCTCGGGAGGGAAACTGAGGTGACACGGGGCTGCAGCTGCAGGAACCTCTTCATGCACTGTTATTGGATTAAGTCCTGCTGCCCTGCTCCAGGGTTCATTTAGACACACCACACCCCCATCAGTGATTGTTCTGTGGGGGGAAATGCTCAGACTCGTGAGTTAACTTGTTACTAATATGATGCAGGCTCTGCTCTGCTGTGCAGTTATACTCATCAAATAATAAAAATATCCGCAAATACCCTGAAGCTCTGTTGCACAGACTGCATGTAGAGAACTGAAAGGCAACATCAGCTTCATCTGATTACAATAGGGCACTAAAAACAGTCTCACTTAAACATTTTAAATTAAATCTAACATATCAAGCTAAATATAAATACAGCTGTGATGTTGAAGCTGCAGATTCAAACAGCTGAGCCTGTGACCTAGGACCTCCATCACATCTCTGATGGTTTATAACACAGAAACATCGATGCACCATGTTTTCATTCTGAAAGTGCTTGTTAGAGAATATTTATTATGAAACTGTTACATTTATACGTAAATGTCAACACTGAGGTGTAACTTAGCGCAAATGCTTCCATTTCACTTTAAATCACTGCATTATCGTATGGCGTTAAACTGTTAGACGTAATAATGTATTGTCATGGTTTAGTCCTTCCATTTAAATGACTTATTACAGTCAGCGCCCCACAGGTAGCTGGACTAAGCGGGTCTCACCTGTAGATCTTGTATCTGGTGCTGAAGCCCTGCTGGTACCGCTCCAGAGCCTCCTGGAACTCCAGGGAGCGGTGGAAGGGTCCTTTATCGGACAGCAGCCACTCCAGAGCCCCGGGGCCGCCGCCGCCGCCGCCGCCTGGCCCGGCCGCCCCGGAGCTCCAGCCGCAGCAGAGCCACAGGCTGAGCGCCACCCCCTCCCATAGCAGAGACAGCCGCCTATGACTGGTTCTCTGACAGCTCATGCTTCACCCAGCGACTCCTCATTCTCTCCGGACTGGAGGAGGACGGAAAGTGGCGCAGGTGTTGGGGACTGTGGAAAATTAGGATTTAAATCCAGTCAAAAGGCGATCCTTTAATCAGACTAACCAGAGGAATCTCACCCCGCTTTGGGAAGCGAACACGCGCGCTCTCGTGAAGAACCAGAGATGCTGAACCGTCCCGATATAAACCACACCATTCCCATCATCCAGACACCCGCTCTAACTTGTTATCCTCCTCTCTCAACTTTGATTCAGGACCCGGTCCCCCCGCGTCCAGCCGCTCCCCGGGGACCAACTGCGCCGGCAGGGACGCGGAGGCGGCGGAGTTCATTCCTGGGACGCGCTGCGAGACGTCTCCAGAGGTGAGGAGCGAAGGGCAGATCCCATCACCCCTCCAGAGAGGGAACCCTCCGCTGCCGCCGCCGCGATCCGTGGAGCGCAGAGAAGAAAAGCGGTTTGATTTAGCGCTTCAGTTCATATTTGTCCCCAAAGCGAGTGATTCTTGGGATGGATGTTCTCCCGCTTCAACAAGGAGAGCTTCTCTTGTCAGAGGGATAGCGGGAGGGCGAGCCAGAGCATCCTGATGAGGGGAGAGCTTAAAACGGCCAGTGGGAGCGCTGAAGTTTGGAGGAGGAGGAGGAGGAAGGGGATGTAGATGATGCATCAACACTGCCTCCATCACTCATTGTTACCTTCAATTAACGCCCAATATTTGTCATCACATCGTCGTTTAGGAGTTAAATGGATTCTGATGACAGCTTAATATTATTTTCCTGCGCCTCCCTCTCAGCCCGCAGACTATACGGTCTCCTCCTGACACAGGAGTAAAGGTCATTATCACAGCTTTCTGGCTGGTTCGGGTTCGGGAGTGCTGCGCGCGCTCCCCGCTGCGCCGTAATTAGCACAAATTTGCCATTTCGCCATCCCAAGGGGTCCTTAAACTCCATATTATGCAAAAGAAATCTGTGACCTCGAACTTCAGCCTTCATAATGACTTCCAAGTGAATTCTCATTATTTATGACATTTCTGTGAGAAGAGGGCGAGATTATAGGAGCGGTGTTGGTCTGATCCAGCAGCAGCCCTGCTCCTCACAACAACAACAACAACAACAACAGTCTAAACCTCGTGTAAAACAGAAATATCTGTTTCAGTCCGTCTGGATTTATCACAAATCCTCTACCAGGTCAAAGTTCTGGCAGAAAGTTCAACCATTCAAACAAACAAGCGACTCAGAACAAAAGTGAGAATTAACAGAGATTTTTGCTTTTGGCACATTTTAGGAAGCTCCACCAACACATTCAGCCATGCTTTTCATTGCACTGATGCACGACCTTTACACTTTACACCTGAGAGGTGACGAGTCAGGCTTCCCAGTGATATCAGGATTATTGCACTGAGTTATTGTTACAACAAAGAAACTCGTCTCTCGTCGTCCTCCTCCACTTATCCGGGTCGCAGAGGCAGCATCCCAACTAGGGAGCTCCAGACCGTCCTCTCCCCGGCCACCTCCCCCAGCTCCTCCGGCAGGACCCCAAGGCGTTCCCGGACCAGATTGGAGATGTAACCTCTCCAGCGTGTCCTGGGTCGACCCGGGGGCCTCCTGCCGGCAGGACATGCCCGAAACACCTCCCCAGGGAGGCGTCCAGGAGGCATCCTAACCAGATGCCCAAACCACCTCAACTGGCTCCTTTCGATCCAGAGGAGCAGCGGTTCTACTCCGAGTCCCTCCCGAATGTCCGAGCCCCTCACCCTATCTCTAAGGCTGAGCCCGGCCACCCTACGGAGGAAACTCATTTCGGCCGCTTGTATCCGCGATCTCGTTCTTTCGGTCATTACCCAAAGCTCATGACCATAGGTGAGGATTGGGACGTAGATCGACCGGTAAATCGAGAGCCTGGCTTTCTGGCTCAGCTCCCTCTTCACCACGACAGATCGGCTCAGCGTCCGCATCACTGCAGACTCCAAACCAATCCGCCTGTCGATCTCCCGATCCCTCCTACCCTCACTCGTGAACAAGACCCCGAGATACTTAAACTCCTCCACTTGAGGTAGGACCTCTCCCCCGACCCGGAGTTGGCAAGCCACCCTTTTCCGGTCGAGAACCATGGTCTCAGATTTGGAGGATGACAAAGAAACAATTAACCAATACACATCTTACTTCTGCTGAGGCTGAAGTGATTTTCTTGCAGACGAAGATGTTCTTTAAACCCTAAACATGTTTTCTGATAGCTCCATCAGAGCAAACGTTCGGCCTTTGTCTTAACTTGTCATTATGCTTGTCATTCCCACAGAAAGGCGGATCGACTCGGACCTTTGTGTTAAATGGACTGCACAGGGAGTGTCTTTTTACTCCAGGAAGAAGTAGAATCAATAGTTTGTTTCCATCGATTCCTTTTAACGTTGTTGTTGTTTGGCACAGCCTCTCAGGATGTCGGTGGACGCCTGTTTTTTTTTCTTTTTAAAGTTCAAATTACGACAATTTGCCAATCCAATAATGAGAAGGCCACATCTTCAAAGCCCAAATGCCTGCTTCCTCCATCGGATCTGCTGATAGACGTCAAGATTGTCTCAGTGAACTGAAAGCTCTGTGAAGCAGCAGTCAGTTTTCCTGTTAACTGTCAGGAAGAGCATTCACTTCCCCAGGTGGCTGATTTTGACATTTGGGACATGATACGTTAGCTGGAGCAGCTAAAGGAAAGTGTCATGAGCCGGGGTGAGTACTCCTGTTCTCATAACCATCTGTGAGTCTCTTGCCAGGAGAGGGAGTGGCCCAGCTGTTCCTGATCAACAATCAGCGGGGTGCCTTCCTATTTAAGGTGGATGGTGGACGCACTTCGACGCCGGAAGATTGCCTCAGTTTTGGTAGTAACCAGCCACTCGTGTTATCTCTAGTGTTCTTAGGATAAATGTTATTTGTAGTGTTTGCGCTTATATTGGATTTACCCTTCCTCGGGATTCCTGTAGACCTCCTTGGATTCTGACCTCTACTCCAGGATTCGGATATTCAGCACACGGACCATATCACCACCCTCCATAACCCACCTCTCATCTCACCCAGTGCCCCATCCACCAGGACGCCCCGCTTCTCTCCACCTCTGCTCCCTCTCCTGCGCTTCCCCGGCTCTCTACCTCTCCCTCCTCCAGCCAACACGTACACCCACCACAGTAAGTTCTGCTGAACACCTCTGCCTGCCTACAATGGATTGTGACACCAGAACCTAAGCTCACCTGTGTTCTCCCTCCTCCAGACACTGAGCTGTTGTTGCAGTTTCAACCACAGACTTATCTGTGCACCTTAAGTTCCTCCTTATAAATAAATCATTTTTTCATCCATTTTTGGTCAGTGCTGTATTCTGCATGTCTTGGGTTAAGTACCTTCCTCCAAACATGACAGAAAGTGTAAATATTCCAACTGGCATTTTCCGTGGATTAGGAATGGGGCTAAATGAGCTTTCCCCCTCTAGGCTATGAATGTTATAGTCTTTAGAAATCTCTAGAAATCTGGCTCTTTGTTATCTGGGTGTGCTGCAATTGAAAAGTCCCCCCCCCCCAAAAAAAAACATCCAACTTCCCTTCCACCATCTTCCTCAACCTTAGTCAGCCACCTGCTGAGCTTTCGGATGAATGCAGGCAATTTCTGATAATTTGCACCCAAACCATTGACTGACTCAACCCCTTGCAGCGGACGGAGATGGGAGGAGACGCTCAGGATGAGACCAGGAAGACGATGTGAAAAGGGGCTGACGTGGCTGTGGGGGTTATGTGCCTGGAAGCACGCGTCTGGGACAACACCGCGAGCTACTCCGACAAAAAAGGTGAAGGTTTGAGGTGCAAACGTACCTCACATGTCCTAAAGGATCATACAAAGAAGCAAGTATTTCTCTGAATGTTAAGCTTGGCACAATCTTTGGTAAAGACTGTTAAAAACCAAATAATCCTTCTCGAGAGTTTGGCACATGCCACAGGCGTCCTGTACCATTCTCTCTGCTCCAGTAGATAACACGCCGTCGGCTCCGGCGACTAGAAAGGAGTTTAACTAAGCAATTACTGCCTCTGAACCTTTTATTGTGAACGAATGAATTGTACTTGATGGGCACACTGTAAGGCGGATCATGAACACACAGCATGCTCATTGTTCTTTGAAAGTCTCCGAAATGGAACGGCAGAGCGACTTGGCAGGTGGTGAATGTGGAGGAGCAAACAAATGGAACTGATGATTATGAGGTCTCGGCTTTGCTAATTCCATTTCACTCCGGAGCGAAGACGGCGATTGGACGGGAACCTTTTTGCTGGAGTAATTGGACGGGCTTTGCGGGGAAAATATGTTGGGAGACGGCACGGCAAACCCCCCACGGGGGGTGGGGGTGGGGGGGTACATTAGAGCTCATCTCATCACATTAAACATCATCTCAACAGTAAGATTGTACCGATATGAATGAATGGAGGTTTAATTAGATCCCAGTACAGTATTAATTTTGATCAAACCAGTTGGATGTGGCAGACGAACGTTGCCGCCTCTCTGGTTTATCAGGCCGAGCTCTCTCGGTGATTCAGGTCAGGGAACACACATGTCCGAGTCTTTGTCGAAGCTTTGGCTTTTGTGGCCCAGCTGCTATTTTTGCTTCCTCCCCATGCATGCCCTTTCATTCCTGAGTCACACTGGAGCATCGGAGGGCTGACCTAGAATACTGAAAGCCTGTCACACAACAGGACCTGAGCATCTGTATGAAGGCAGGGGGCTTAAACAGTGGAGGGGGCAAAAAGTGGCTGAGTGCAAATGAAGTTCTCACATAACTAACATAAAAATGACGTTTAGAACTGAGTGAAAAGTGACTGGTGCAGTTCACACTGGTGCTTAGGAGTATTTTAATAAGGCATTGGTAGTTTACATAAATTATCATTACCTGTCACCAAAAGGAGGGGAATGTTTCATCTGGGTGAATCTATGTTGTAGCTAAATGTCTCCTGAACCACTGAGCAGATGTTTATGAGAAATTATTCATCAGATGTCCATCAATCCAGTCACTCCAGTTCAAGATGGTGGTAACAGCTAATGGACATTAGGACACAGCTACTGAGCCAAAATCTGATGTCATGATGAATAAAGGCATCTTAATTCTGGTTCACATGCCCATAAAAAAACAAGGATGCACTATGCCGGCCTAAGTCAGGGTGCTGTGGCACGACTGCAACTCGACTGCAAGGTTCTCGAAAGAAACGACACGCAGAGAGCACATCACTCCTGTGCTGGCTCCCCGACCACCTCAGGGCGAAATTCAAGGTGCTAACTCTGGTGTATAAAGCTTGGTTCATGCTTGACGCATTCACTTTCCGCGCGGTGATGCGGCTCGCGGATGGAACGCGCTTCACAACTCGCAGCGTTTATGGTTCGTGCGGCTTGTCTCTGCGGTGAGCCAATATTCTCCCAAACTGTAGGGGGCAGCATGGAGCTCTACAGCATGCACCCAACACTACACCATAGTAGAAGTAGAAATTACTGTTTACAACATGGCATTTCAGCATTTTTAACAGCGTCCTCGTCTTTTCCGACAGTGCGAGCTATTTCTCTCCAAGAATTATTAACAACATGTTGATCA